CTCCCTCCCTCCCCGCTCCTGCCAGAGGAAAGATAATAATGCAAGCTGACCCAATGTTTCTTTACTAAGAATTCCAAAGCTAGAAAACAGCCACTGAGAAGTGATGGCAGAAGAGAAGAAGAGCTTTTCAAAGATTTGGGAGGGTTGAGAAGGGAGGGTAAAACTGTTCTGAAATCATGGTCCTAATTTGGATGAGGCTTTGAACTGTGTCCAGAACTAGACACAATGTCATGTCTAGCTAGGGCTGTGATTTGACACATATTTTAATTTATTAATGTATTTAGAGAGATTGCTGCTGTTATTGCAAAGAACTTGGAAAAGTGAAGCTCCCCTCTCTGTTATCCCCCCACTCCAAATTACCTGATCAGGTATGAGATAGGCAGCTATGTAAGTGTGATAAATAAACAAATAAAATAGTAGGGTGAGCAAAAGAAATTATAGAAAAATCAAATGAAGAGTTAAAACATGTTTTTCTTAAACACAAGCCATGCATTTTAAACTGAACAAAAATGCAAGAGGTCATCTATTTTTAGAAATGTTCAGACAAAAGCTATTTTCTGGTGTCCTTGACCTGAATCCTATGTAGATTGAGGAGCAAATATGACAGCAGTAACTGATTTTAAAAATGTCTTTTATTTGGCTTGTTATGGAAGAGATGTAGAATTGGAAAAAGGATTGGATAATGTGGCTCTGTTGTAATTAAGAGAGAAAGAATTCTGCCTGAGATTTAGAGCTATTCTGGAAAATCCAGATGAAGATATTAGAAGAAGGGTTGTTCAGGCACTGGCAGATTTTTCAAACTGGGATGAAGAAAAAACTGAAAAAGAAATTGATAAGGTGTATCAGGTAAATTCACATTTTGCTGCAATGAGACATGTTCCAAGGGATGTGTTAGTGCATTTTATAAGGAAAATGACCAGGGATCAAGTTTTCCAGTGGCATTTTAATATAAGACTGAAGATTGATAATGTGGATATAATTATCTTAAAATAATTCCTACTAGAATTTTACGTAAGAGAAAGGACTTTTTTTTTTTTGACTGAGATATTGAAGCAGAAGAAGATCCTATTTCATTGGGATAAACTGGAGAGAATAATTTTTACTTTTCAACAGAAAGGTTTTTGATTGGATTCTGTCCATAAAGCTAAAAAAAATTCTGGAAAAAATTAAAACAGACTTGGAGGAGATTCAAATGGAGGTGGTAGAGAAGACAAGCTTAAAACTCCAAAGATACAAAAGGAATTTGAAAAGGATGATTGTGACCTGGGTACTTCAGGTGCAGACTTTTCTAAACTTCTGGCTTAACCATGGATTACAAATGTTTAACTGGAATATAAATGGAGCAAATTCTCCTGAAAAGAGAAAATAACTGTCTCACTATTTAAAGAATTAAAATGAGATGTAATTTTCTTACAAGAGACTCATATTAGAAAAAAGGATATAAAATATTTGATTTGTAAGAACTTGGGAGAAGAATATATTTCAGCAGGATCAAAAAAAAAATTAATGGAATTGTTCTAAATGTTAATCCACGATTAAAACCAAAATTGTTAGTGATGGACGGCCATGGTAGATTTGTTGGGAGTGGAAATGGAATTACAGGGGGTTAAGACTCTAGTTCTGGGGCTTCATGCGCCAAATGAAGATAAAGGAAATTTCTTTAAATATCTTATGGAACAATTGATAATTCTTTCATATAAAAATTGGTGTTTGATGGGAGATTGGAATGGAGTAGCCTCCTCACATCTGGACAAAACATCAGAGAAGAAAATAAAAAATACTCAAGGTAAATTACCAAATACTTTTTTTGACTTAATGGATAATTTATCCTTAGTGGATATATGGAGACAGAAAAATGATAATTCTAGAGAATATACCTATTTTTCAGAAAGGCATAGATCATTTTAAAGAATAGATATGATTTGGATTTCAAAGACTTTGGCTACTAAGACTTCTAAAGTTGAGATTTTACCAAATATTTTTTCTGACCATAATCCAGTGACTTTGATTCTTAAAAGACAATCTACTTCCTATAGATGAAGTTTAAATGAAATGTTACTACAAAAAGAGTTGATGGTGAAAGACTATAAAAGAAAACTAGCAGAATTCTTTGAGAAATTTAAATAAAGGCACAAACTTAAGAGTGGTTTGGGATACAAGCAAAGCTTTTACTAGAATCTAGTAATGATATTTTATATAGTATAACATTGAACTTTAAAAGAAGACTCAAGAGAAGATGCAAGCTATTTTGAAGGAAATAAAAAAGAAAGAGGAAGAGTTAAAGGAAACACCACAAAAGTTAACTATCAAATTAAACTTTTACAGCAACAGTTATCTATGTTAACAGTGAGAGAATTGGAGATTAAGATGCATTACACTAAACAAAAGAATTTTGAATTTGCAAATAAACCAGGGAAATGGTTGGCATATAAATTAAGAAAAGAGAAAGAAAAGAGGATGATTTTGAAACTTCATGAAAGAGACACTGTATTAATGGATAATGTGAATATACAAATAACCTTCCATCAGTATTATTCCAACTTGTATATAAAGGCTAACCTGACTTTTCAACTGGTCTTTGTCCTTTTAAGTTCCAAAGCTTTTTACAACCCTGTACTCTCTGGTTATTTTAGACAATTCTTATCTCCTAACAAACCTGGCCAATAATGGACAATAAGAATTATAGTCCAACATTCTATTAGGGTCCAAGCTAGGAAAGATCTTATTGAAAGTAAGCAAGGCTCGATGATTTGCTGGGGGAGGGGGCGCAGAGAATGAGTGCAACACCTTTAACAATATTGATCTGCACAGGTTAGCAGGTGATGCTTACCTTTCACAAAAACTTAATTGCCTGTTCCTTGTTGCAAAGCAAACTGCGCTTTTAAAACAGTCAGCTGCAGTGATCTGATGGAAAGCTATCGTTTAATTCTGTATAAACCCCTGGGGATGAAGATTGCATAAACAAGACTTCAGGCTCCCAGATCATGCTTGATGATTCCAATATTCTGGGGTAAAAGAGTGTTCTCTGTTTCTGTGACATTAAGGCAATTCTAAGTTTTCCACAGTTTGAAATGGCTGTAAGAAGTGGAGCACATAAACCAACAGTAGCCAAGGAAGATGGCCCTGATTATCCCTCTTTCAGGTAAACTGGCATCACTTTTTTGCCATCAGAAGAACCTCTTAGGCCTGATCATTCTGCAAATGAACTTGGCCCGGAAACATACAGGTCCCTCACCTTAAATTATGTTGAGAATATGAAGTTCTATTTACCATAGCCAAAATTGAGGTAGGATATTTTTCTCAAACCTGGTCTTTTTCAGACATGTTGGATTATAGCTCCAACCTTCCTGAAACAGTGATCCCAGTGGTTGTGTTGGCTGTAGGTGATACGAGGTTATAATTTGTCTGGAGGGCACCAGGTTGCAGAAGTTGAAATAGAAGTCAGCCTCTGTCCATGTCACTGGTTGCAACAATCAGTAAAATAAAACATAACATTATTATACAAAGGGTTATTACACAAAGGAAAGAGTTGGACAAATACTGATCTACTTGATTTTTTTTTTAACATTTTGCACATTTGCAGCTGCAAATGCAAAAGACATTTATCTTTCCCATACATTTTCTTTCTATTGACTAAAAACATTGTATTTGAGTGGATTAAATCTTTTCAACCAAGAGGCCTTCTAGATAGATCTAAATTCTTTGTCTACAAAACATTGAAGGGATCACTATAATAGCAGATCTTCAAAGCCTTTTAAATAATACAGGTACAGACTTGTAAATTATATATGTGATATTTCTGTAATGTAATTGCAAACCAGTATTTTACTGAGATCAAAGGTAAAATAATGTTCTTCTGAAGGGATAGTTGGTAAGAATTAATAAAGAAATTGCATACTCATAAAGAAGTGATGATACTAGTTATCAAAGGAGTTTTACACTGCTACTTGGGTTATTTTTTTCACTGATCCTCTGCCAGTCTTCTGTAAAATATAAGGAAGCATGCATAATGTTCTTCATCTTCCTTTTAAGTACCAGCTCAGCACAGAACCATTTAATTTCATAAAGACAACTATAGTGTATGCTTTAACTCCTTGCTTTATAATTTAGCTATGTAAGTCTACAGAATCATATATTTAAGGATTCCTAACAAACATTTTTGGTATGCTACAGCAGCTGGTTGGAAAGAGAAGG